TTGGTATCTTCGAGTAAGACTGGATGTTTTTTTCCAAATTGGGTGGCCCATTAGAAACATTTTGGTGGACTCTTGGCAGGAATCTGGAAAGAAACCTGACATCCATATAATGCTAAGAATCAAATGATGTTTTCTTTAGGCCAAATGAACCTATGGTTTTATGCAGCCATCAGAGTTTGCAGACAAAGCTTAGAATGCCCCTTGTTACATTTAACTGGGGACTTTCAAAAAGAGATGGGGCATCTCAACATCATGTGAATATCCATGAGTAGAAAAAGTGAAAAACTTCCAATGGATGTGATTGTTCTCACCTGAGATGTCAGACTGCACTGAATTGAAGGAGGGAAACCACAGTGTCCTTGTGGACATGAAGGAGATTATTCTCATCGTTCTGGAGTCATTGGCTTCTTAAGAGAAATTGAAGTTGCCACACCAGAGGGTATGTGGCACAGGCAGAGTGAGAGGCTGCATGTTATGGGTATTATGGGGTATGTGGAACAGAGTTACTCTGACAGTGTCTGATGCTTGATGAAATGCAAAGAGACAGAGCATCAGGTGCTCACTGCTCTCAAGAAGAGGTGACCAGAGGAATGAATTTCAAGTGCACCAGTATAACAATTTTAGCTTTAATTTATCCACATCTTCTGTGACACCTCGGGGTAATCATTTGGCCTCTGCTGCTCCATCCACTTCCTCGTTTTTCTCATTTTTGTCATGTCTTTTTAATTAATATTGCTCAAACCTATCCTTTGCCTTCTCTTCTCTGTTAAAACATTTTCCTAGAACAGGATTATCTTTGCCATTCACTAGTTCTTCAAATGTCTTCTTGAAGAATATTCTGTATAGCAACACTGCTCCTGAAATTCTGAATATTTACCACAGAGGGACAGTTAACTTTGGATGGGCAGCATGAAGAGTGACTCTTCTCACGCTGACTTTAATAGCTTTAATTGCATCATATTACCTGATTTTTCTTTTTTTCCTTATGCACGAATCACTCACAATTAAATCATCTACATATCTGAGAGGAAAGCTTTCCATAGAACCATCGTGACCAGCACATCAATATACTGATATTTATATATTTACATACAGAAGAACTTACACACATGCAGTGGGAAGTCTCTGCCTTATACAGACACAAAATAGTGCCCCAGGTCCTGTAGAAGTTGATGATCAGGCATATTATGTCCCTGTGCAAGACAACCCAGATCAGTCTATTGTGAGACTGGGAACTGCTGTCCAGAAAGCAAGGTAAATTAAGTGTAATTTTTTCTTAAGTTAGACAACAAATCCTATGGTGGCCCTGCCATTTTACTGGGAAAGGATAGCATGGCCTAGTGATGGTAAAAGAAGTGTGTGTGGTTAAAGTGGCTAAAAATATCAGCTGGGCATTGAGTGAAGAGCTAGCAGGAGAGGAGAGAGAAGGACAAAACGGTGAAGGGCTGTGAAAGTGAAATCAATAATTTTGAATACAAGAGGGTGGATGAGGCAGTGCCTAAGGGGAATCCCAAGGAGATGCTAATATGGTCAGTGTGATGAGGGCTCAGGCCATGGGGATAGAGAGGGTGGTGATGAGTGCAAGGGAGGAGCATGGTGTGTATTTGGACACATTTCAGCTGCATCAGGATAGAGGGGAAAATAAGAGCCAGAGATCTGAAAAACAGTAGGAGAAAAGGGAGGATCTGGGTCCAGACTGGATGCATGCAGCAAGAGGAAAATCTCAGGCAAAAAAGCCTCCCTTTTTAAATGACTGTTTTTCAGTGAGAAGTCAGGTTTGTTTCTCAGGCAATCTCATATACTGCAGCAAGCAGACCTGCTATGGTAAACAACAGATATATTTTGATCACTTTCACATTTTTTTGCATGAAATCAGTTCTTGCCATAGTCTGAATTTCACAATGTTTGCCACTGAACTCAGAAAGTCAAAGGCTCTATGAGCAGGGTGTGTTTTTTTTTAGTGCACACAGGTATTAATGAGTTTCTGCAGGATGTTGGACTCTGGGAAACTGGGAGAAAGGTTTGTAACTGGTCTCATTTTCTTCTATGTCTTCCCGAACCCTGCCCTTCCAGCAGTGGCTAAAGGAGATAATGCTTCCATCTTTGTGCTGAAAGTGCAGGGGAAGTGCAGGTTCAGAGGCAAACAGGAAGGAATAAAAGTCCCTTTTTGAGATTGTGTTCTCCTGACTCACTTGCTTAGGGTTGGCTACTTAATAGTAGTTCAACAGTGACAGAAGAACAGAAAATGAAGAATTTTCTCTTTCCATGGGGGAAAAAAAAAAAAAAGTGAGATTTTTCTCCATGGAATTTTTTAAGTTTGTCAAAAGCAGGACTTCTTGACAATTTCTCTACAACCTGGGGCTAGACTCTGTTAGAGCAATTTACTTGGGATCTGCATAGCAGATACATTTTAAAAGGTCATATAATGGTGGAATATCTTTCTGGGGCCAGACAGTATTGTCCCCCCAGGCTACCAGTTGGAGAGCTCTGGCTTGTTAAAAAAAGTAAAACAGAATGCAAATGCTATGTTTTTACATGTTGAGTTTTGGGAAATGTTTAAGCAGAAAAAGGAAAGAATTTTCTTACATTCAAAGTTGACAAAAATCCTTTTGGAAAAAATAATTTCTCCTTTTTTAAAAAGGTAGGATTTCAGAACAATAAAACCAGCATCAACTGCAATGGACTTAGCAAGAGAAATTATCTCTAATACCCTCCACAGTTTTATGTTGCTCTAAACTTGAAGGTTAGCAGGGTTGGAGGTTTTGAAGAGCAGAGTGACATACTTGTGATAATTAGCTACCTGCACTTCTGCCATTTCTGTCCTTCTGGAAGTTCTGTTAGTATCTTTATCAAAAAAAAAAAAAGCAAGCAAAAGTCAGAGAAAATTGGGTCTTGACACCTGGGACACCTGGGAAACTGACTGAACCTGAATGTTTGTGCCTCAGAAGTTAATATAAGATGACTAAAATCAACTAGCAATCTCTATTTCCTCTTTTTGCTTGGTCTTGAGTCTGTACATCCACAGTGCACCTTCCTGCGTTCAAGCTTGAACAATCTAACATCAGCATCGAATGTTACTGCGTTAAACAAGTTGTGGTTTAGGTTCTTCCAGTAAGACTCATGCTTAAGAAAAAACTGTGCTAAAATGCCCCGATCACTGCTCAGCCACAACCTCAAAGTACCTCGAAAGTGGCAATAAAGCCAGCCCCACAACTGCTCCACAAGCTAGGTATGTGTTATAATCCTCATGAAGCCTTGCAGCTATAGTTTTGAGATAAGAGAAGATGTAGTGAATCTGTTTCTCACCTCACATCTCCGTTTAGTTTTGCCTTTCTCCTTGCCAGTTATGAGAGGAGCTAAGCACAGTATTCTCCTAAATATTATTTATGATAGGAATAGCAATTTCACTCCCAAAGGTCTGTTTCTAACCTGTTGATATCCTTGGAGCCCTAGTTTTCAATGTCACCTAGAGCTGTGCTGGTCTGCTCATTTTGTTATGAGCTTTTATATGATTAAAACTCCACAAAGAAGGTGGGCTCTGGAGTGAGTACAGATAATTCATAATTTCTCATCTAAACTTTCCAACTGCTTCTTCTAACCAGTATCTTTTTTTTTCTTCCAGTGTTTGGGAGTACAGGAATCCCATGACTATGTTGGAAGGGAATTACTGCGTCTTCTCACACCAGGGAAAAACACTTCTAGAATCAAAGAGCAACCTTGTCTGACCCTCTGTAGAGGGTCACAGAGAAGATGCACAAAATTCTTGGAAGTGTTGTCTGTCTTGCACCATAGCAAGAAATGAGGCAGGAGTTTTGGGAGGTGGGCTATCTGGGAGGGGAGTGGGGAAAGTAGCACAGAAGGAAAGCACAGTGTGGAGATTGAAAGTGACTTTAAATTCAAATGAAACTCCAACAAGTCTTAACTCTGGAAGTTTGCCTGAGAAACAGAGTCCAGATCAGCTGCAGGTAACAGGAACAGAAAAGCAATAGTTTGTCCCACTGTAATTCTAATGGAATTGCAAGGAGTACTGGATGGCACAGAACAAGAAATTTCACATCCCATTGGTGAGCATGAGGATGGGAGAGATCCCCAGTCCACCAGCGGGATAGTGCCACGTGGCAGGGTGGCAAGGTCCGCCTGCTGCTGCACTGCCTGAAAGGACCTTCCATAGTAACACTTTTGCAAACAGTGAAATCTCACTGAAACACGTTACCACACAGCTGTTGGCAGGCTGATCCAACCTAGTGGGTGCAGACTGGGGTGTCCCTGTCTGGCCGACCACATGCAGCTGAGGCTGTGTTCCACTCATGCTCCAGCTGGTGGAGCTGAGCCAGCCATATGCCCAGAGCTGTGTGAGCGCAGTATTTATTCAAACCCAGCTGAGGCACAGGGTGATCTCAGGCTGTTTGTATGTGCTGTAGCGCTGGCTCAGGTCTGGTGGGTTCAGAGCATGGTTGCTGGCATTTCACTGAGCAGCCATTCCTACAGGCATTCAACTAATGTTGTTCAGCCTTTGTCCCTTTGCAGTTTAATGTATCACACCTGCTGGAGAGCTGCTCCTCAAGCTCTGTCTTCCCTTTGACTTCATGACCTGTTCCTGCTTTGTCTTAGATACAGAAATTCTCCTTCTGCCACATGCTCCCACTGCTGACCCCATCAGCATTTCACCTAACCCCCTGGCCTCCTCCATTCTGCTGCAGGTGCTTTAGTCTTTTCTGCACCTTCCTCAGCTCCCCTTATGAGGCAAGATATTTTCCACCCCACCACCAGCAACTGCAGCACGCAGTTGCTGGTGAGATGCCAAACCTTCACCTCTAAGCAGCGCATACAATTCTGAGCATGAGACAATTAGGAGAGAAAGAGGGAAGGGGGAAAGTATTGACAGAAATAAATCGAGAGAAATCATAAAAGCTTAAGCAGAAAGAAAGCAGTTGAAAGGTAAAGTATTCAGAGAAAGCCCTTTCCTGGATGAATCTAATTGTTTTGTTATCTTTACCCACCAAAGCATTTACTTTGGTTTGTCGCCCGATCCACAAACACTTTCGAGGAGATGACATTACCGAAAGGCAGGAACATCTGCATCAGCTCAGCATCCCCAAACTCCTGGGGCAGATGGTAGATAAACAGGTTACAGCCCTCTGGTCCTGTCAAGAAAAAAATAAGAACCATGAATAGAGTTAAGTGGGATTTGAGAAAGCACATAGTGGGATTTATTTTGCGTTGTCTCCTCTCTCTGACTGCTGAGGGATACCTGTTAGTAAGCAGTCTGCAGAGCCTGGCCTGCATTTAGGGGTCTTGAAGAAACGGCTCCTCAGTGTGTCTCACCTGGGAAACAGTGGGTGTGGGATGTGCTTTCTAAGTTTTACTGGCTCATCTCTTTATTGTTGCCACTTCACAGAATCACAGAAACACCAAGGAAAAGACCTACAGGATCATCCAGTCCAACCATCCACTAATAGTTCTCACTAAACATGTCCCTCAACACAAAATCCAAATGTTCCTTGAACACTTCCAGGGTCAGTGATTCCACCAGCTCCCTGGGCAGCCCATTCCACTGCCTGGCCACTCTTTCAGAAAAGTAGTATTTCCAGACGCCCAGCCTAAATCTCCCCTGGCACAGCTTGAAGCCATTCCCTCCAGTCCTATCACCAGTTACACAAGAGAAGAGGCTGACCCCCTGCTCGCTGCAATTCCCTTCAGGTAGATATAGAGAGTAATAAGGTCTTCCCTGAGCCTCCTCTTTTCCAGACTGAAAGCTCTTCGTAAAACTCCATGTCTAGCAATGAGACATCTATCATAAGAACCCTTCCTTATTCTCCTATGTTGGTCTTCAAGACTCTTTAAGAGGAACAAAGAAAGCAGAAGACTAGGAACTCAGAAAGTCGCCAGATGTCTATGCTAACCTTCCTAGCACAAACACCAGAATAAAACACAGAATCAGAAGAATACAGGAGCTCTCGTGGCCATGGAAAAAATAAAGTAGAGGAAAAGAACAAAAAAAGAAAATACATCCAGTTCTTGGCTCTCTTTGTACTTCATTTAATCTGTAGAGTTTTGGGTGACCACCCCCTAACCTTTACTTCTCTGGGACTGCACCCAAGTGTTTCAGTATTTTTCCCGTTTCCTGTGAAGACTGAGATACCAGTAGAAGGGAAAATACAGAGACCCCTGGACTTGTTTTGTTTTGTAGAACTCTGCATTCTGTCCCCACAGTATGACTAACTCCAAAGACTCCCCATAATCTAGACAGTTTGGTCTCATTCCACAGGGTTCCTCAAAAGAGATGATAGATGGATTAAAATCCCAAATCCTAGAGTTTGGGACAGGAACTGTCTTTTTTTCTTTCTTTTTTTTTTTTTTCTTTTTTCTTCTCACTACTGTAACAAATATCCAGAGAAGAAGACTTTCAGTGGAATGTCTTTTTGTTTATGTCAAGGCATGGAAAATGTTCTGTTTTGATTGCATTTTGAGGTAGGACCTTCCTCTGGCTTACACTGTGGAAAAAATCCCTAAACATTTAAGTCACCAGCAAAGAACTGTGGAGCCTCAGGAGGTAGGACTTTTTGGGTGGGGGAGATTATCTCCAGGGATAATTCCAGCTGCTGCCCAGGTCTACAGTGACCTCCACAGGTAACTCCAGCTCTGGTTTGCTCATCAGGGTCCAAATGAAGGGGAATTAATGCATTCTCCTTGAGGGTAGGAGGAAAGAGCAAAATGGGATGCCCTTCTTCCACTCAGCTCCTGTGCTTACATCCCTGTGACCTAACTGAGCCTACTTTCCCCCATTTAAAGCTGGGGCACAGTGTGGAGAAGGAAAAGGTTTTTTTAGTACTCTTGTTTTCTTCATTGGGGCATAATTATGGTGTTGTAACACAGCAAATTACAACTTTGCCTTTCCTGTTAGAGAGAGGAGTTCGCCTAGATGCTCCCACCTTTTATTAGCCATTATTCATCCCCCCGGCTGGCAGGAGAAGTAAGGCGAAGTCAGGATTCTGACAGATGCCCATTTAAAGCTCATTAAAATTCCTGGGCCTCAGCATGATTGAAGTCACAGGCTCTCCACATTTCCTTTTGGATTAATGGAAAATGAAGCCCTAATGAATATTTGCTAAGCACAATTTTCCCCACTAATTTGCTAAAAGGACTGTCACGAAGGAACAGCTGATCCTTTGCATCTCGTGCATTTCCTAGAGGTCATGGGGATGGTGACTGAGTTTCTTCCAAGCGGGGGGGAAACTGGTACAGTGGGATAATTAACCAATTAGTCACCCAGTCATCTGCATAACTAATTTACTTTTGAAACTCAGTGGCCCACACTCAGGCTCCCCTATTTCATGCCAAACTTTTCATTCTTCCCCTCAGCTCCTGTCCACGTCTTCCTTAGTATCCCCACTGAGCGATTATCCTTTCTTCGGTCCTTTCTGCAGTTCAGTTACATACAATGCAGTTACTGGCACAATAAGCTAGATATGAAACAGTCTGAAAATGTTAAACAAACACCAACACCCTTAGGTGTCTGTTACAGCTGAGAAAATGCTGCCCAGGAGAAGACCATGGTCCAGAATAGTAGGGAAAATTTCATTTCTTCATCTGAATGTGCCCCAGAGCGCTTCTGCTGTGGGATTTGAGATCTGCATTATTATGGAATGGGTAAAATCTTGGCTTTACTGCAATTAGTGGCAAAATTCCCACTGACATCACCAGAGCCAGCAGTTTGCTCTGTAAAACTGGCAAATTCTTTCAAAAATGCCAGCTGTATTTCCTGGGGTCTTGGATGTGTTGTGCATGAGTAGAGAGATTCTGCCTGCACGCGCTGAGAAATACCTACTAAGGGCACAAGCTGGATCAGAAGCACACAACTTCATCCACACTAGGTTTGGAGGCTGGACTCAAGGAGAGAACAGCACTTAGCTCATCTTAAAGTCAGCTTTGTCTAACAGTGCTTGGACACCAAGAGAAAAAGGCCAGGAAGGATGTGAGAAAGCAGAGACCAAAGCCCAGTTCTGTTTTGAAGTGTGGCTTTGAAACCCATGCTGTGGCTTCCCACTCTGACTCAAACATTCAAGGCCAAACTCACTCCATTCCCAGCTCCAGAGGATTTTTGCTAGTTTAATGCTGAAAACTCCACCTGCTACTGAGAAACAACCTGGGGTAGTTTGATTTATCACCCTCACATATGAAAATTCTGCCATTAGAATTTAGCAACTAATTTCTTGTTAAACCCATCCATCCATAAGTTACCTATCACAGTTAGACTCCTGGGTAAAGAATTCACAAAACAAGCTCTCTCTACCTTGTTTTTCCCGTATTCCTGAGTCAAGTTAGTTCTGTCAGTCTACAGTAGATGACATAATCATGCATGTGGCCATCCCTTTCTGCATATGTGTATATTTTTGAAAGACTGAATGCATTTATTGTTCCACTCAGAATGCTATGAAGCGCTAAGTTAGTTCTATGCAAAGAGTTTTAAAGGGATCAAGATCATTGGAACAAGATTACTGTTGGTATGGCAAAATCTTAGTGAAAACTTTACTGCCAAGAGAAAGGTCTTATTCTGGACTGAGTTAATGGATCACTGAGGATAGGTACAGTTGGCAGTTCAAGGCTGAATATAATACTAAAATTCTTTACTAAGCACTTTACTTTGGTTTTCTAAAGGGCTGTAAGTCACCTCAAAATCTAACCATTGCAACATTTCATGAATCAAGGTTCATTTCTATCCTGACACCTACCACGGCTTTTAGTTTTATTGCTTTAACTAATAGGTATTTCTGCTCATTAATACACTGGAAGCACAGATAGTCTGGATTCAGACAAAAAGAAATAAAAGTTGTAAGGAACACACAGTTTATGAACGATTTGCATATGACAGGCAAACCATGCTGTATAACAGAAACTCATGTGCCTGGAAACACTGGAACATATGGAAGAGAGATCTGTTCTGAGTCTGTGTTGATTTGGCTTGGTAAGATTTGAACTGCTAAGTCATTGCTCTGCCCATGCTCATCACTGTCCAGCTTGTGGCAAGTTACTTAAGATGGACAACAGTGTCCCAACCTATTTCTGGATGTCAACTGTCAATATGAGTAATTAAAAATGAGGTGTCCCCATACGGATGTACAAAGTTGGCAAGTGGTCTTTTGTCTAGATGCACAGTAAGTGGGAATATACCTCACCTCATCAGTGAACACTCTGAGGCTGTAACTTGTTGCCTATTCTTTGCTTGTTATTTAGTCCTCAGCATACTTGAATGCAAGAGTCATAAACCTGCCCTACTTTATTTTAGTATCCAAGTGTACTTCTTTGTTTCCTAAACTATGTCAAGATGAGTAATACAATACAAATTTGAAATTACCCCCAAGTTTTGCCTGGTTGACATGGTCTGAGTTAAGACTTTGTCTCTACCTTTGGAAATTTTGGATCTGCTCCATCCTGTGCAATCCATCAGCTGCCAACAGCCTCAGCGCTCATGTGGAAGCAATGACTAATCTTTACAGGAATTATGCAGCAGCCAAGCAGTCTGGGCTTGTTATCCAACCAGGATTCAGGAGCTGAGAGTTAGCATCATTATTAACAATGTGATCATCAATGTTGTTGTTGTGGTAGGATAGGTTCTTTAATAAATCAATGTTTGCGCACATCCTTGCAAACATAAAGCACTCTTTTCAGCATTGAGTATTGTTATTATTAGAATTCCCTCTTGCTACATCTTCCTGTTAAAGGGTAGAGAGGTTTGAAGGTCTTGACTCACTGCTAAAATGCAGTGTTGTGTCTTAGAGATTCTCCCTCTAGCAAACAGTAGAGAAAACCACAGCAGATAAGCACTACATGAAAATGGAGGACACTGGGAATGGCTGCCTACCTTGAATCAGTGGTTCTTCTCCTATACCTGGCCCCCAGTCATTCTTAATATCAGATGCTCATGGAAAGGAGCAAAGAGTTATCTCATAACTTGTCCACTGGGCGATACTCACCCTCAACCCACAGACACACCGTGCGGTATGAACATTGGGATCTTTGGTCAATGGTGCTCGGAGTGTGCACAACAGTTATTCCTTGCTTTGGATTGTTCCTGGCATAATGCTATGTTAAGCAATGATCTGCTCTCCATTTTGTCCTGTGCTTAATCTAGCCCCGGTAAGTAATAAAAACCAAAGTCCTTCAGCATGGGGGAAACATCTCAGTAATGATACGCTAGGTCTGTGCATCTGTTCTCACAGCAGGGATGTGTACTAGAGCTAATCAGGAGCTGGAAGTTGTGTTCCCCAGGAAATTCTGACATCAGAAAAAAATTAATTCCAAATTAGATCGAATTGCTGACATTTCTAATTTTCTCACAAAATGAGATTTCTCCCCCAAAGTAGTTCTAGGCCATCAGGATGTTTTAGTTTGATAGTCTAATCTTGATTCATTTTATTCTGACTGTATTAAAATATTAAATGTAATTATATATATAACAACACATATAGAATATATCTGAATTAGTGATCTAGTAAGGAGTAAAAGTTGAAATATAATTATTTAAAATGAGGGTCCCTACACAAAGCTGAAGTACCTGACTTAAATGCCTCACTTAGGAAAGCAGTTTCTTGTCCAAAGAGAGTGTGGAGGATGGTTGGGGCTATCTGAGCAGGTTGCCTCTGAGATTCCTACTGTTCCCTACTGGCTGTAAAGCAAACATAAATGACTCCTCTCTTTATTTAAGGAAGTCTTTGGTTGCTCTGCATTACATGATGCAGATACCTCCCAAAACAATCACATGCAACAGTGGGAGATTCATCTATCCATGCTTTCATTGTCTCCAGTGCAACTATCCTGTCCCATGTACATAAGTCAGGCTCCTCTTGTAGTCAATGTAAAGAAACAGGTATCTTTGCTACATGAATAATCTCATCCTCATACAGATATTACTCTCTAAAAAGGGCTGATTTGTGTTTCTAGGGAGGCTGAAAGGACTAAATCAGCTCCACTTAATAGCAGGTGTCTGAAATTACATTACTGGCTTCTAATGAATGATCACCATTATTTGTTTCCTATTAAATTCTTTATTCCAGTACAATTACTCTTGTTGGCTGTCTTAAACAATCCCCACTGGATGTTATTGTCCACACTGCTAACAGGCCTTTCCATGGCCCTTGCACATCAGCATGCTCCTCTCCCTGGGATCTTAGGAGATCTTGGCAGAAATTTCCCATGAGGATGTTTGCAGTGTGCCAGTAACGCCACATATGGAAATTGAGAAACGACTCAGTGGACCAAGGATTCAAAGCAATGGGGCATTTAATGGATGCTCTCTAGGTGTATGAGGAGGGGAACCAGTGTAGAAGGGATGGCATGCTGGGTGCAGCGAAAACAACAGACCACTCACTCACCTTCTCTCTGTTGCTGTGGTATCATGGGAGGTGGCTGTGGGAACGCTTGGCTAATCTGGCCATAAGCAGCAGGATAAGCAGCTGTAGAGAAAAGAAAGGGAGAGAAGAAAAGGATAGATTTCAGTTCTGGGAAGCAAGAAACTTTCAAATCAAACAATCACAAGAAGCTGGAGACGGGCTTTCCCGTGTATTTTAGGTGCCTCGTATAGTCTGAGATATAATAGAAGTGTCACAGTGGTGCTTCAGATAGTAGCACTCATCTCTGAGCATCCATTCTCCTTTCAACTTTGTAGCAGAAGCACCGGGAACAGCCATGTGATCTAAATGGCAGTCTAAACGGAGATCCATGAGATCTCCCCCACCAGAGGTGGGTAACCATCCCAGGAAGTACAAGAAAAACACTCATTCTTGAGCTCAGTGTATTGATGCCTGTGCTGACAGGCATGTGCAGAGTCCATGTCCACGTTTTTCTTTTGCACTCTGATTTATACACATGCTTATAATAACAGTTCATATGTATTCCCACTCTCTCTAACTCTATACAGAATATGCACAGAGGCACACTTCTGCATGCATTCTCAGATATACATTTCCTTTCACGTCTATGGACATTTAGTCTTCTACACAAACACAGTGGAAACAGTGTGCAGCAATTAAACAATTTTCCCCACCTCAGCTCCCCCACCAAGCAGACGAGGGGAGCCATTCAATACCACAGATGGTAGATGATGTGCCTTGCTGCTAAAAATACAGAGTACGGGTCGCCTGTGAGCCCAGAGAGAGAGGGATAGGGGCCATGTGTGTGCAGAGGGGTTAATTAACAGCTCAAAGGGTTGAGCTGCTTCCCATCTATCAAACCTCACAAGCAATAAATGACAATAACTAAAATACCGGCAAATGAAGCCCTACATGGAGAATTAAATTAAGTTTCCAGATACAGCACTGACATGAAATAATAGCCATTCCTCAGCGGGAGCCCATGATTGCTCCAGTTACCATAGGAAATAATGACTTTGAGGTGGCAGCTTCCTTGCAGTGTTGGCCATGGACACCTCACAAGGGGAGGCTGAACACAGCAGGGTCATGGTCTGCACCGGGTCACTTTGGCTGGTGTCAGTCCATCAACTGCAAAGGAGCTGCTCAGCATACACAGAGACGTTGAGAGTGAGAGGTCTGCCCATTGGAGGTCATGGAGAAGCTGCTGGGAAGCCAGGAGTATACGCAGCTTCTAGGGCAAGCCTCGAATCTGTACCTCCAGCCACATCAGAACTAGCCAGGGCTGGGGAGTCTCACACATGCACAACCAGCAGAGTTCACACATACCCTACAAAACGGGCGTATGCAGACATACACTGACTGTGCCCTGCCAGGCACTGCTGCAGTGGCTCGGCAGGGTCTGTTTGCCCATCTGCCCTGCTCAATGCAGCACTCAGGAGACCCCCAGATCTTCTGTAACACAAAGTGGCCACAAACCAAGAGGTCTGATTTTTCTCTTGCTCATTGTACGTTCTAGGGAGGCCTGGTCCAGTTCTGTCAGTGAAGCTGCACAAAGGTAAAGCTCAGTGGGAGCCATTCCCCAGTGCTCTGGGTCCTTAGGTCTGTTTTCATGATACTGCAAATTGAATCTGAAGATCTGTCAGGTGTCCCCACCTCAGGATCCACCTCCCTTCCCACAGCCCCCTTAGCTGTGTTTACAGAATTTAGAGAAGAAAAAGGTTTACTGGGAGAAAGTGTTAATACTAACGACCTGCGTACTGCTGCACTCCAGCGTAGGCTTGCTGCAAGGGGTCTGCTGCAGTGGGACTCTGCGCTGTGGAGACAGAATAGAGAAGGAAATAAGGGATTAAAACAGAGAAATAGAATCAGAGAATATCCCAACTTGAACCAGACCCCAAGAATCATTGAGTCCAATTCCTGCCTCCACACAAGACCAACGAAAATTCAAACTATGTATCTGATAGTGACGTACAAACACCTCTTGAGCTCCAGCAGCTCACTGCCGTGCCCACTGCCCTGGGCAGCCTCTTCCATGCCCCCACCCTCTGGTGCAGAGCCTTTCCCTAACCTCCAGCCCTCCCCTGGCGCAGCTCCATGCCATTCCCACAGGCCCTGTCGCTGTCACACAGAGCAGAGCTCAGCGCTGCCCTCCGTTCCCTGTGAGAAGCTGCAGCCGCCATCAGGCTCCCCTCAACTCCTCTGCTCTGGGCCCAGCACACCCACAGCCCTCAGCTGAACCTTTCTTTTCCCTAAGAAATGTGTGCTGTGAGACAGACAAACCCAAAGGCTGAGGATCCCAGCAGTGGAGCATCTCATTCTAAAGACAGGACTGGTGCAGACCCCCCATGATGTCCAGGAGAGCTCTGTACTCAAGCTTTGCACGTCCCTGTGTGACTCTGCACAGGGCAAACAAACCCTTTTCCACCTTTCTCAAGTTTCAGAGCCCACCTCTAATCATGTAGATTATTGGCATTGCTGCAGTCAACCCCAAAGAGCCCACATCCTAATCCAGGACTGATGCTATGCTAGGTGCTGTGTAGACTCAGATCTCAGTGACAGCTACCGGCACATGAAACTTTCAATCAGAGCAGAAAACAACAGGAGCATAGCAGGGGGAAGGAGAAGAGAACAAAGCACTGGCTCCTGCTATCCTGACATTCCTTCAAAAGACCCATTGCTGCCAGGCAGCCCCATTCGAAGGGAGGAGAGGCTCCTCAGAGGGGAGGGGGACACTGCTTGTCTGCTCCAGGCAGGATGCTGTGAATCTCTGCGTAGAGTACGCAGTCCCTTGCTGGCTTCAAAGTGCATTTTCTCTCTTTACAAGTGTGCATTCCTCCCCCTTAAAACTGTTTATTTTTGTGAAACTTTGAAGTGTAGCTCAAATACAACCAAAGCTAGTTAAGATACTTTATTTTTCTTTTTTTTTTTTTCCCCTTTAGTTCATAGGGAGAGAAAAAGAGAGCAAGCGAAAGAGAGAGAAACGTGTTGGATAAGCTCTTTCTTTATCTGCAGCAATAAAATATTTAAAGCAAAGCTTGGCTGAACCTCCAGTCCAAATGTCACCTTGGCCCTAATATTTCACTTCTTGTTATGAGTTTAATTTGTATTTATTGGTGCTGCATAGTTCCACATTTATGCAATCCCTCTGGCTTCGTACTTCTAGGATGTTCTGTTAGGGAGCTGCTGCTTCCCCCCATCAGTTCCCACTTTCTTCTTTCCTACAAGAAGGCTGATGGAAAAGGCTTGGAGGGTGTGTAGATGTTGATCTACCCAAAGAGGGAGACTGGCTACAAGCCAAAATGTGTGACTAGGTGGAAAATGAGTGCCATGAACCTGAAGAAAACAGACAAAATGCTTTGTAACTGATATTATTACAGATTTGACTTAAATGTCAAAGATTACCATTGATCATGATGGTTTGTAAGGTCTCCTAGTATACTTATCTCCCCACATGCAAAGAGGAAGGGTAAAACCAAGAACAAACATGGAGGGGAGAAATACAACTGTCCAGCTAAGTCTTGGAGGATCCTATTCTTATGATATAACTAGATCTCCAGGGGTGATGACAGGAAGAAACAGGTGAGACTGTAGACTTAGGCTGGATGTTGGTGGGTTGAATCGCTATCTGACTTTTATCAGGTCCCACAGCATCTGTGTAAAACAGGAAAGCACTGCATTACTGTAAGGATTTTCACTCATACGAAAGAACATGAGGAGAATTCATTAAAACCTCTGGAGGTCAGTAGAAGCATCATAGAGATGTAAAGTTAAAGTGCAGATGCTCCAGGAAACTATAAGAAATGCTTGCAAAACATAAAATCTCTTCTCCTTTTACTCCTGCTTTCTTGAAGAAGGAAGTGAATGAAGTCTATTCTTTTTAACTTCTGTTCAGAATTGTTCCTTCTAAAAACAGGCTGTTGAGCATGTTGCTCTAGAAGAAAACTGATGGTTACAAAAGGCTGAGTGACGCAGCAGTTCCTGCACTCCTTTGGGAGAATGGTTCTTACTAACTTGAACCCTCTAAAGAGACCAAGATTATATGCTCTCAGATAGAAGGAACATCCTGAGGAAAATAAAAAAGGAAATGTGGTAGAGGGAGCAAATCTTTAAAGAAGAACCACAGTATTGAAGTCTGAAGCAAAAAAGATGATCTGTTGTGTCTGCCCTAAAGGCAACTGCCCTTTCTTTGTGGCACCCACCTGCTTATATTCTCTTTGTTGTTCAGGAGATACACTCACAGTGTTTTTGTTCTCTGCACGGGATTAGTCTAGTTGGATCAGAAGGCCATGCCTGTCAGAAATCACAAATCAGCTCTCCAGGAGAGCATGGTGTACAAGGAGCCTGAGCTGCTGGGCTGTGCAGGCTGGTGCAGAGCACCTGACTGATGTCCTGCATGATAGCAATAAGGCTGGGGAACATTTCATCCAGTGTGTCCATTCCAACAACATGTCTGTGACATGGCTCAGTTTGCAGGCCATGCTGAAAGATAGTGTAAAAGCTGACAATGGATTTGGGCATGCATTTTCTTTTCTGACATGCTGACAATTTGCAATGCCTGCCTCTTTGTAGATACAGGAAAAACCATGGCATGACATCTATTCAACTGTAGTCCTTTTCATTTTTTCTTGCCTTAGGTGGGCACATATGGAAACTGTCCATTCTCACAGCTACTATTGAGGCTGTATCCTGCCCATACAGAATAATGGCAAAAACCTCCAAATAAGCTATATTATGAATTCTTGGGCTTTGCAGGCTTTGCTCTTCCTGAAGGAAACCTGACACTTCTAATTTTGGTTTGGATCAGAATAAAATCTTCCTCACAGTTAAACACCTTTTGCTGGACTGAGCTCTGAGCTTAAGGTTTTAACATGGATTAAATCCCAGTGGGGCTGGCCACTTTTTCAGAGAGAACACGTTTCAGCAGCTTTAGGAGCATTACATTGTTTGGCTTTTGTGCCAGTGCTAGAAACTGAACAGGGCCTCCTGATTCATTGATGAGCTGCTCTCCTTACCCCATCCCTTGGCATCTCGCCTGTCTTTGGAATCATATTCTGACCACTGTAACCAAACCATTCTCTGTAGGAAATATACACTGAATATCACTGTTCATGTTCAAGATTAAATAATAAAACTGGAAAAATGCTTTATTTAAAGTGTTTGGAACAACAAGCATTTAAGCACAGCCTTTTTCCCTCTCACACAAAGTTTTTAGAGTTCATTATTTCCCTGCATCTTTAGGACTTTAGGGGTCTAACTGGGTGTTTCTTTCTCAAGAGACTGTTTCATCAGTAAGAATGACTTCCTGTCTTGTAGTATATAGAATCACAGAATCATAGAGGGTGGGAAGGACTTCTGGAGATAATCTAGTCCAACCCCTCTGCTAAAGCAGGTTGCCTAGAGCAGGTTGCACAGGAAAGCATCCAAGCTACTCAACTTGTGTGATACACCTTTGGCTCTGCAGCTGTACACCTTTTCCTCTCCAGCTGTGCTGGGGCTGCTTTGTTTCATGATGACTCTAAACCACAGAATCACAGAATCATAACATTGCTCAGCTTGGAAAAGACCTCAGAGATCATCAAGTCCAACCTCAACCTAACCCAGTCCATGAGCACCACATTCCCTGGAATAGCTGCAGTGCCACATGGAAGCACAGTACATATTCACTGCTGTAGCAGTTCTCTCTTCAGAACAGGCCTTTTATTGGCTGGGTTCAGCTTTATAAAAGACAAATATAATGTATAAGATAAAGTCTACTGTAGAATATATACTGGTGGCTTTAATAAGACATCAAGTTGACTAACGTGACTTTTCTCTCTTTTCTCCAGAAATCACAAAGCTAGCATGAGCACCAAAACCAGAAGTTACTGGTCACCTTTCTTCGGTAGCTGTCTCCAAATTTTCTCCTTCACTGCCAAGGACTGACATTCTTCATAACCCAAATTCTATGTGTAGGGGTCCCAAACCATTTATTGCTCCCAAGTGAAAGCTCTCCACTGACTCTGAGGGAAGATCCAGTGTTTAAGTCATTACTTAAATAAATGTCAAATAGTGACTTATATGATGGAGAGCTATATGATGGAAATCAGTGCGGTACTGAGTGCCCACAATCTGAGGTATATAATACAGTGTACTTCCTGAAGCTCAGCTGATCAACGAAGACTGCAGTGACTTGGAAAATGAATATGATCAGAGCTTAAATTCCTCTGCAGTGAAGGAAGTCATGGAAACTCCAGAAGAGGTAGAGAAGAAAGAGGATAAAATTGCTAATGATGAAGACACTGGCATTCAAGAAATCAAGCACCAAACTCAGTTATTGCTGAACCAATAAAACTAGACCATACAGCATCAATCAGAGACTGTGGTACTGAAGCATTTTGTGAAGAGTTCTCAGATGCCCCTGATGGAAATAATAATGTTTCTAAGAATGTAGATGAAGATGAGGATATTGTAGGTGATTGCAGTGAAACCAAAAGCAAGGAGGAAACTTACAACAATCTGAAATTGGTTAAGGTGGTGATAGTTGGGCTGATGGTGATAGAGATATCTAAAAAGATATCTTTAGAAGTCAGTAGTAAAACTCTCCCTTGATTCAGTCAGTTTTGATCAAAATTGAAAACCATGTACTCATAAGTAAAGAAAATGCCAGGTATTTACAGCTGGTTTGACATGCAGGACTGCTACAGTGTCCGAACAGTCTCTGGATGCTCTTGGAAAGGACTGAGGAAAAAGCACCCTGGGTTGCAGCACCAGATGACATGTGGAGGCAGAAAACCCAACCTGCATATCTCTGTTTTATTCAAACCCTCACAGCCT